TCCCTCTCTGGTTCACCTCTCTTTCGAATTCCTGGATCTGCCACTGTTCATTTATTATATAATTATTTTTTCGCTTATTTATAATGCGTCTATTGCAATTTTCACTTTATCCTCTCAAACAGTCCTAAGAACGTTCAGTGTGCGCTACTTTACGGGGGGATTCTCCCCCTTGACCCGCCGGGGTCATATGTAATTCGCATAACGGCTCTCCCCCTTTCCAAAATCCTGGCTAGTACATTTTAATTGGAGTATATTTAACGATTAAAATTTAATTAAAATATTATGTATATGAATTAGTATGAATTTTCTATTTCGATATTTCCTTACACACTCTTACAATTTATATAACAATTCTAATAAAATGCCAGAATTGTATTTGATTTTTATTATCAGAAAGTAACTGAAGTGGAATATTCAATATCATTAAATACTAATATTGTAGATAAATACTGTATTAAATGTTAATAAAATACAACAACTGTATTAAAAACATACTGTATTTAAATTAGTCTGTATTGTATGAGTTGATTAAATATATTTAACAATTTAATTTTTAATAGAATTCAATTAATTAAAAAAGTGCTAGCCTGACCTGAATTAACTATACCTGCATGAAAAAGGAAATAACGATTTTTTTAAATAAAAAAATAATAAAGCTTTATAAGTTGACTGATGCCATTATATTAATCAACCATGATTAATTGCACTGATTTTCTATTAAATAAAGCTCAATTCAGTCTACACACAAATGCAAATTGAATAATCACAACCTTAAAAATACCCAAAATAATGTAAACAAAAAAAGCATGATTAAAATACTGCAGGCATAACTAATTACTATACTTGACTTATGAAGTATGACAAATGTGTGTTTGTCAACCTACATTAAAATACCTCTAGGGCAGGTTTGCTTAGGTCTATTTAGGCTTAGATCTAATAAATGATTATTTGCAGTATGCACGCCCTTATGCTAAGCCTACACTGATCCGAATATGCTGACAAAAAGTTGTTAACGATAAATTCCTCGGCGTGCAGATCGCAATAGGTCCCGTACATTGCGCAAAACGCGTTGCACTATCGCCCGAAAATGAAGGTTACATTAACCGCCGTCAAAGAAAAAAAATAATAATAATTTGATTAATTGTTCAGTAGTAATTAAGGCATTACACAAAAATTACAGAAAATGATGAATACCACTATATAAGTGGACGACAAGTTTTCAATGGAAATCTAGCCGCCACGAGGAACATTGTTTAAATATTCATCAGAATAATTATTTCGTCATCGGCAAATTATGCAGACTCGTACAGTGGATCGAACAGGTTTCTGCAATCGACTCACACCAAGTAGTTTGATGTTTACATTTAGTATTTAATACAAAATAAGGATTTGGCCTAGAAATATAGTAAATAGCTAAAAACAATTTTTAAATAAAATATGATTAAGGACTTTTGATGTGACAAATAAATGTTGGAGCAGATTTATTATAGTTTCAGATTTATTTCATTACATTAATCTTATATTAAAACTCTTATAGAATTTGAAATGTATTGAATGTAATGCATTATGAGAAGGACAGAGAAATATACAGTATGTTATAATGTTGGGTTCCCCATCTGCGTGCGCGTACTGTTACACCTCGAGCTTGCAGTCACAGCTCTAGGTCACAGTGTACAGTTTTTATCATGGACATCACAGCTTTAGTGTTGGGTCCAACATTTTACAAATTTCTGGATAAGACAATAGTAAATAAAAAAATAAAACAAACCTTAGTACATAGCAGCATCTTTCTACAATGGCGGACCCGGCTATGCATTACTATTATAGGTGAACTGCTGTTTTATTGAGGACATTCTGTATGTTCCACAAATTTCCATACAAATGATTTTCATATAATCAATTCGTTATCATTAATTAATAGACCACGATTGAAAGGTTTCATTTAAAAAATTATATAATAAAAACAATAATTTATTTAAAAAATAGTCTACACAAGGTGTCCACTTCCACTTTCTAGAGTATTTTAAACAATCAATGTCCCTGTCAATGTCAGAATAACTTTTTTTAGGTGAAATACAGAACACAATAAAAGAACACATTGTACAGACCTTTTTTTGGTCTCAGTCAAAAATACAGTACAAGAAATTGCTTCGTCATTTATTCAATAATAAAAATTTAATTTCATAAGAGATATCACAGACTCAAGCGAATTTATTGACTATAATTATACTCCATAACCTAGGCCCTACAACACACTGATACACAGAGAAGCAATCACATCTTACCCACACTTAAACACGATTCGGAAGCTGGACTGCACACAATTCCACTCGTTCCACCAACGCTCGCTGGGATTCGCTAGACACGACTCATATCGCTGTTACGATTCCCGGATCTGGCAATTGATTATTCATGGTTTTAAATATAAGGTTCCTCGTGGCTGCTAGTTGGTCTTTAAGGTTTTTAAGAGGGTTTCAAATATAGCGTGCCTCTATAGGACTTTGTCTAGTATACTATGATTAAAGGAGAATATGTTACCTATGAATGAATGGAGCACAGAACCAATCGTCAGTATAGACATTTTGTCGAGGTATATCGTTAGTGGTTTGGCTGCAAATGTATCAGCTACCTATAATCTATGATTTAGCTCCTACATATCAGCTATGACGTAGCTTTAAAAATGTCTCGACTATGTGTGAGCCCTCATATCATTTTGTGCATATTATCCCAAAGTAAAATCAATCACCAAAATATAAAGAAAACACATTTTTGCGATATTTACAGACCAGTGCTCTTAAATCTCTAAAAAAAAAAAAAAAATCATCTAAAATTCCAAAAAACTGCATACCTTTCCGATGTAGCCGTAATAAAATATGTACAGTAGTTAATAATTGAAACTCAGTATTCTAATATATAAAATACATGTTTAATTAAGACGCTATAGGTTTCGTAAATATTTTATTTATAGGCCTGAAGAAGTAGTCTGCATATTGTGAGCAAATGTTTAAGTCACGCAATTAGTATGCCTATACCTGCTTATCATAATTATTTTCTTTAGTACATAGATAATCAACATTTACACATTGCTTTATATGCTCAACGTCATCTTTCAACGTTAGCTTTGAAATTACAGTTTATTTAACCAAACTCTTGTAACAGCCATCGGTAATCTTAACTTCTCCAAGAGTTGTCTTAAACACTGACAAACTAAAGTCAGTCTTGATGCAATCATTTTTAATTTCCCAAACTTTTTTTTACTCCTTAGCAGAAAATAACTCGATAGTGCCTTGTAATTTGAGCGTCTCTTTTGGCATATAAATACCTAAATCAAGCCTGTTTTCTTTTAATTTAAATTGCGATGAATATTTGGTGGCCAGACACAAAACAATCTAAAAAAGATCTTGCTCTGTGTTGGTAAACACGAATAAAACCTAGAACATAGGCTGGTCCTTTAAAAGGCCAATATAAGCTAAACATTATTTTCATTAAGGCCATTTTAAATTTAATATGGCGGCATTCTGGATTCATGAGTGCTTCTGTAAAAATATATTCTTTTTTTTACCTAAAATTTAATACATAATTTCAAAAGTTTTTCATTGATTGATCTATCCATAAAATTAAATTTGGCCACCATGTGCGGTTTCTAAACAATTTAAATGTATTAGGTTATCTTTGAATTATCCTAATCTTAAAATTATATATTTTGCAACTAAATATAATTTGGCTTGGGAGCCATGACATACGCAAAATGTGGTTTTATATGGCGGCCATTTTGAAAATGTGGCCAATATGAGCCAATCTATAAAATTGAAATTCAATATGACCGACTTATTAATATTATTATTATCAATAAATATTTTGCAATTAGAATCATTATAATATATTGATTAAAAGTCAAGATATTAGCAAAATACAACGGCCAGTTTAAAATCCATTATAGTGGTTATGACATATTATGGAACATGGTGTATTTATATCCCTTACGCTTTAAATATATATTTTACAAATGCAATCATATTATTACATTTTTATTTTATTTGCGCTAAATAGGTTCCTGCTCTCTTTCATTTCTAGATGTATTTCCTAAATATCAGGCAACATGAAACCAGTTAAAATAAAATTAATGGAACAATTTAATTTTAGTAAATTGTATGTTTTTAGGCACATTATATTTTTGCCGAAGTATTTTTGATTTGGTTTTCATTAAATGTTATAAATTAATTATATTATTTATGATTTTTTTTTTGTCTTGAATTTTCATTTTATTTAACGATTTTTTTTTAACTCTATAACTTTAACTTCAGCTATATTGTGTCATTAAGGAAAAGTTATATGTTATGTTTTACAAACAAAACGTTTTTTCCTATCTCGTTTTGCCTAGTTATTCTTGTTTTTTGGATTTTGCATTAATTTCTTTACTTTATATACATTAATTATTCTGTTTAATTTACAATTTCATAATCAGGTATCGCTTTGGAAATGAGAAGTCCTACATTCAGTCAAAGTAAGTTTTTCTTCTCCTACGAAGTTTTCACTGTTTTTGCACAAGGTGTTTCTGTCTGCCACCTTGACCTCTGATGAATAGTATCCAAAATTTACCACAAACTCTTAAAATATAATAATGAGCCATCATTATTGCTATATGATTTTTGATACAATTTGTGAGCCGCATATTCTAATTTAATTTTGTTTTAAATATTTTTTAGGCTTCTAGTCTAGGTCTAGGCCTACACTTAGGGCCTACACCATGCTATATAATCTTTTGTTCTATATTAAATTTAAAATGATTGCAATACAAAACATTCATACTATATTATACACTATATTAATTTACACACATCTAATATAAGATCATTTGAAACAGAAAAAGCCTGGAAGTAGTATTTCTTACTTAAAACATCTTTAAACAATTTATATAACTATATTTGTTCGAGAGACAAAGTAAAGGAACTCAGCTTTTAAGGCTCAAAATTCACAATTTATTTTCACTCAATTTCACAGGTTACAATTCACAATGTGTTGATACTTCATGTAATGATTCACTAAATTCACTGGTATCGCTATATTCACTTAATATTCAACTTTGTGTTGACTCCTCAAATTCTCAGTTCTAACTTCACTTGTTAATTCACTTTAATTCCGCTTGAATTTTTAAGTTAATTCCACAAAAAAAAAAATCCTCACCTAATTCTTGGTTTAATTCTCGGTTAAATTCTCGTTAGTTCTCGAGTTAATTCTCGTTAGTTCTCATTCATTTGGTCACTGGATCACATTTTGTCACACATTTGTTACCTCCCATTTTCTAATATTAACCTATCACAGTGAAACTTTTCTCATCAGTGGTATTTAAAATTCTCAGTATTTGATAATTAATTGACTATTTTTTTGGGTTCAACTACCTTTCTTTAACTCCTAGTCATTACCTAATCACACATTAATTTATTGTTTAGAAATGTACATTCTTCCAGTCTAAATGGTGCCACTATTCTAAGTTTCAATATAATCTTAACCACGTATTCCCTATGGAATCTTCCCATTTCCTCCTTTAATGGTTTACTTAATTTTTGTTTATTTATTTCTCTTAATTATATAATTCCTCCTGAACAATATTATTTAAACTAATAAATTACTACAACTTAAACGTGGACATAGTACCTTATTCGCTATAACAATAAGATTAACAATTTTCAATCTTATAATTACTTTTATAAAGCCGGTGTTATGCATTGACATAGGCTACTATGGCTAATTACAAGAAGGCTTTCACTATTTAAGGATTAAATTGGAATGACCCGTACGAAGCACGAAATCATGTAGACCAAAACCGTTACCGTTTTCCGATTTTAAATCATGCGGGAAATTTACCTGTGATGCATTGAACGTCGACGGAAGAATGTGCACTCTTATTAGGACGTGGGTCTTAATTTTCCTACTGTCGCTCAATTCGAAACGTTCTATGATAACAATTTGCACTCTTCTAAGAACGTCTTTCTACATATTTTGGGTTGAATTTGTTATACCGTCGCTCAGTTCGAAACCTACCTATTATAGAATATGTTTACTCATATAAGGACTCTTATCTTCATAGTTGTGATTTCTATTTCTCCTAATAACAAATGGAAATTTTGCAATCGTCTTAGTGTATTTAGTGTTTGCATTTTAATGTTTGTGCACGCGCATGTGTGTATGTGTCTGTATGTTTACGTGGG